AATTAGAAACAATTCTAGATGAGAAGCTCACTCTGGAGACTGAAAGTTGGCCCCTTAACATGCTCAGGTTCTCCACCATATTAACTTTTTCCTTCTCCACACATTTAAATTCTTCCTCAACTCTTAAGAAGTTATTGTGCAGTTTACTATTGTACTGTTGCAAGCTTACCTGGCTCAGGAAAACACGGAAGCAAGATTTATAGGTACATAATAAGAGAAATTTCTTATGTAATTGTTGCTAATTACATAAAGAATTTCTCCAGAGTGAGTTATTTATCTGGAATTGTTGCTAATTACATAAAGCTTATGAAGCTACTTGAAGTGTTGCCAATATTTTCTTTAGCTTTGTATACACATATTTATCTTTTTTTTTTTTTTTTTTTTTTGTAAAGATATATGAAATTCAAATTTAAAATGTTTGAGAAAAAGAGAAAAAGAAAAAAAAAAAAAACCAAAAGCAATATTAATTTCATATACTCGATATTTTATCTATTGTTTGTGTTTCTCCAGCAAAAGTAAAGACCATTTCTGTGCAAGAAGTTCGTCAAAATCTATATCAATTTCTTGAATAATGTCCACAACGTATACGGAGAGAATTGAACTATACAGCCTGGGCCATTTGATTGATTTCATCCCACAAGACAAATCTTTCGTTTATTCTTTCTTAAACTAAGTTTAATAATTAAGCAATGAAAAGTCAATAGCCAAAAATCTCACATAATAATCTTTAATTCTTGAATAACCCGAATTTTCAATAGACCAAGGGATTACATACACATAAGATGAATTAAATTAAGGAAAACTAAACAAAGAATGAGCAATAAGGGAGAGAAAGAGAATCAAAACCTATATTTCTGCCCTGCGATGCTATGAGATCGTATGCTGTGAGATGGTATGAAGGTATTTTTCCCAATTTTTTGATAAATGGGGGAAATCACAGTAATGATTTGTTAATGTCGTGGGTTTCAATTTGTTCATAGAAGTAGGGGGAGTCTTGGAAAATGTTTATTCTTGTAAGTGGATAACCGCACCAAAGATTAGAAGAGTTAAAATGTCAATCCTCTAGAGAATAAGAGTTAGTATATGAATGACTTGATCAATAGAATAAGATACTTGTAACTCCTAGATTTTAGTATTAAACTCTTAACAAAATAAGAATTAATAGATCAATGACTCAACGAGTGGAATGAGATAACTTTATACGAATGTTTAAAGCCCAAATGCTATCAAACGAACTCCCAAGTTTGAGAAAGTAGTGCAAAAGTGAATTATCAAAATAAGAAGATTTAAACTAAATTAAACATTGTTCTCAACATTATTAGACTTGTATAAAAAAAGAGGTAAGAACAATTCTATCATGAAACTTGCTCTTAGGTGTTCATTTGGACTATGACGACTCTGAATAATCTTGTGAGACAAAAGAAAAAAATGAGATTAAAAAAGCAGAAAAAAAGGATATATCAAATTTGTAATTACATGAAAGATAAACTAAATTAAACATTCTTCTCAACATTATTAGACTTATAAGAAAAAGATGTAAAAGTAACCTGAAGAGAAAAGGTTTATCATGAGTCTTGCTCTTAGGTATTCACCAGACTTGCTCCTAGCTCGAGCTGTTTCTAAAAAAGAAAAAATTGACATTATTTTGCAATAAATTGCATCGTAAAAATTAAATATGCACGATAACTTCAAAACTAAGTTTTGGAGAGAGAGAGAGGTGAAGTCACCTCGTGACCAGAGACCAAATCCATTTTTTCCTGATTACCCAAGTGGCAGTCCAACTTGAGAAATCCTATAATCAACACCCAAATAAAGTTCAATTAAATTGCAGCATGAAATATTAATTAGAAAAGCCCTGAAATGGAAGCGAAAAAGATTGAAACTTGCCTAATGTTATGTGTACAGTTTCAACACTTGCTTGTGAAAAACATACTGATGTGACATGCCATATGCTGAAGTGATATCAGTCGTTGACCGCCAGGTAGGTAAAATCCATACGATATCTTACAAACTATGATCTAAATTACTCCATCAAAGTTGTATCCTAAAAGAAAATTCATACTTCTATATGAACCCAATGTATGATTTTTGCATATACCTTGGTGGATTCATTCTCTGGATGAGTTTCTCGTACTCATCATCCATATTATGTGAAAAGCTCATTCTAACTTCTGCAGTAAGTCACAAAAAAAAAATGAAAAAAAAATTCGAACAAAAGGTTGGAGAGAATAAAAAAGAATCAATTGGAGCGACGAATAACCATTCTAACCAGGGTGCTTGAGGACAGTGGTGACATCATCTATGTCAGTAGGTCTTTCCAACTTTGCCCCGATCATGCACATCAAAGAAACAAAAAAAGGAGAAAATCATCCAAATATATAAGACTTTCAGTTTACATACATCCCAAATTAAGGTTGCACCATCACTACGATTATGGAAATTCAGCTTCCAACATCCTATAAATAATTAAACGAAAAAAAAAAAATTAAGAGAGAGAGGCAGGAATAATGCATACCAAGGAAGAGTAAAAGCTGGAACAGATCCAGGTGTTTGAGGATTGAAGTGAATTGGGATCTAGTCTTCTTTTTTTCTTTTTTTTTTGGTTGAAAAGTTTTAGTAATTTGTGTGCACAATCCATTTGTATTTATAGTAATTGCCTGCACAAACCTCAATCACCTTATAATCTATCACCATTGACATATAGTTCATACAAAATGGCATATCTTAACCTCTCTTTGGCCAGCAACAGTTTTCCAAAGTGAAATCAACTATTATTATTGTTAACTATCATTCCGTTTGACCAATTGATTGAATTTATATACACCAAAAATTTCACAATTCATTGAATTTACTACAACTGGGAGAAGTATAGAAACAAAGACAACTGTTGAAATTATCACCATAAGAATTCCAATATCAAAAATCTAGAGACCAAAATCCTTGTTAACAGAATTTAATCACATTTAAAGACACACACTCTGGGTTCTAAAAACAAATTTTCCTAAGAAAATTTACAAAAATAAAAAGTTGGTTCTACAAAAGCTCTAAAGGGAGAAGCTAAAACTGCTCACCTTGAGCACATAGGGCTTCCAACTTCCAAGGCTGCTTACAAAAGCCCCAAAAAGTAAAAAAAAATCAAGCCCCTGAAATTGAAAACAAAACCAAATTAAACACCCACATGCAGCTGAATTGAACACCAACATGCAGGTACAAACAAACCCCCCAAAATCACAAAAGAGGAATTTGAACACAAAACCCATATGCAAATCCAAAATCACAGAAAAGCAATTGAAACACCCGTATTGAGAAAGCCGTAAAACTCACCAAGAAACTCCAGTTTTTCTAGGTAAAAAATTACTCCAAATCCAACTGAAAAACTGAAGAAACTTCTACTAGTTGGGCGGTGTTTTCCGCAAGAATGTTTGTGAGAGAGAAAGAAGTAGACAATTGTGAGAAAGAAAAGTAGAAAAGTCGAGAACCATCTGATGTAGGGGTGGGCAAATGGGTTTTGTACCCGCGGTTTGGGGCAGGTACGCTTAGTTTGGCGCGGGTACAAGATGGGTATAAATTTCAAAACACAAAACGGGGCGTGGCGGGGCGGGTTCAAAAATAGAAAGGAACGGTCCCCAGCCTGGCCCGTTTCTAGTTTGAGAAAATTGGATGGGGTTTAATGTTTGTCAAATCTCACTCTCCACCATTGATTTCCATATTTTCATCTCACACACACACCCCCCCCCCCCCACTTCCCTATGTTTCCCCATCCCCCCAATCTCTCAAACCTTTTCCCTTCTCTCTTGTCCCTCATTCCTCTCCTTGTTTCTTCTCCCTCCATCTCTGCAACTCCCCTTCCTAGAGCGCAGACAAACCACACCCACACACCACCGTGGTGCACATTTTGGCGAGCACCATCACCACCTGTGGACCATTCCTCCTCCCTTTCTCACCTCCCTACAATCGAGTTCGAGTGAGCGGAGAGATCGGGTTTCGTTGCTTCGCAGCTGGTCCTTGATTTTCTGCGACTAAATTTTCAACTCAGCGTTTGTGCGTGGGAGGGAGGCAGTCTAAGACAGAAGACTGGGTAAAAGTAAAGTGTAAGTGGGTTGGTTTAGGGCTGGGCAGGGGCTTGAGGAGTTAAGGGGTCGAGATTCCTGGGATTGGGACTTCAGTGTCGAAGGAAAGGACGGCAACAACGTGGCCTTCGCGAAGTTACCCGTGGACCTGGTCCAAACCGGCCCATTTCTACGAGGCCGAGTAAGGTTCGATTCCTATCTTAGAAAATGTTATCCCCAGCCCGGCTCGTCTCCTTTAAACCTGGGTCCAGTCTAGTCCCTTCAAAATTCAGCTCGGCCCGGCCCATGTCCACCCCTAAGCTGATGCACACAATGATCGACGCATGGATAGAATGGGCAAAACTAACTTTTCACTGCAGGAAAGAAGAAACAACAAGAGAAATAGAGGAAAAGCTGAGGGCAAAAACGTCTGCCCATTGGTCATCAACAGTACCCCAAAACTGAGTTTTAGTATATAGGATATTGTGTTGAGATTTTTTTTTCTAGTCAAATTTTTAATTCTTGCATATATGAATTAGATCAGTTAATCATAGTAGAGTACGTATGTCCATTGTAATTCAAGTCCGTCTCCTTGTAAATTACAATAGTTAGTTTCGTTCTTATAAGAAAACAGAAGGTACAAAGAGAAGCCTTTGATGCATCCATACCTTAAAAACAAAAAAAATTTAAAAAAATCCCAAAACCAAGCTAATCGATTTTTGGGAGGAAAAGTCTGTATCCAAACTCACCGATTGAAAGATGAATTAATGACCAGAGAAATTAAGGCACCCGCAACAAAATTAGTTTTCCGGTAAACGTGGCAGGAATTAATGCTCCAAAATTGACAATAAAATTAGATCAACATTCATCAAATGAACTAATTAATCTAAATTGTAAAAAGCAAAACTAATTAATTTGAAAAATAAAAAAACATTCCACAGTACAAAGAGGTTTAAAGCATGAGCTAAATCCATTAATTCATGGCACCAAATTACATCAACAACAGCAAGTACATAAGAATAATTCATAATTTAAACAGGCAAACAGGCTTGCCTGTTTATTTAAGTAAATGGCCATTAATCCAATTGTTCCAAAACTAAGAAAAAAACAAGGGAAAAGAAAGAGCATAGAAAACCAACAATAGCAACATTACCACCACACAAGAACAACATTGTACTCCACACATCCTAACAAATTTATTCATATAACAATCTTAATTAGTACTTAATTAGTACTATAAAGAGCTTGTAATTAGCCCCCAAATCTTATTCACATTTGAAGCCAGGAGGGACTGTTTTCTGGCATGCACTAACAAGCAAGCTCAAAGCAACTGGCACTTCCAAGTTGACAAGCCCTAGAGCATTGGCCTTAATCACAGTGCAGAGGCAAACGGCAGCCTCCAAATCAGCCAACCCTTCAAGCAACGCGCAACAACCGCTCGTTGGCGGTATTCCGATTTTGAGGTTGACAAGTCCTAGAAGGTCCACACAAGCCCCTAGCTTCAATGTGTCTTTAGGGCAGGTTTCCGCCTTAGGTGCGGGCGCCACTGGCGTTGGACCAGGCTTGGGGCTGGGCTTGCATGTGCCGCAAGCAATGGAGAATGTGGATAAGTAGAAAAGGATTGAGAAGATGAGAAGGGTTGCTGAGAGCTGCTTGGTAGAAGCCATGGATGGAGTGGTTTTTTAAGAGTTATAAAAATTTGGGGTGCCTCATTGAAGGGAGGGGTGCCCTCCATTTTAAAGGCAGATTGTGAGGTTGCTGTTTCAGAATCCGATTAAGTGGAAGAGAAGTGAAAATGGATGATAAGGTACAGCGAAGATTTTGTATGTTTGTGGGGGTGGGGGGATGAGAAGTCTAATTTTTTGTTCACGACATTTGAATTTGTGACCTCTTATTTATTGAGTAAAGAAAAATACCACTAGTTCGAAGTGGCAAGTAATTGGGTTATCTGAAATGTTATTAGCATTAGTCATGATTGCCAAACAAGTACTCATTGTGAGGTAGGACCAAACCTCCAAAAGGCATGGCCGATGGAAATTTCTAGGCATTTGTATTGACTCGCTCAATCAACAGTACACATCCATCCGCATAAAGTTGGACAACCGCTATGTTTAGCAAGTCTTTTAAGATGATTTTAGGACAAAGATTCATCATAAATATCTCTTCGGAGCTTAAAGATCATACAATTTAGATCACTCAAATTGAATTCATATATTTCATTAACTTTTGCTGGTCCACCTCATACAAACCAAGAGCTCCAATTTTTCTCACACAAACTAAGGACCCAAATGTCCTTGTCCTTAGGCTTCAAATACTAAGGTTCAACAAGTATCAAATTCATTAATTTAAATCATTGATAGTCATCACTTAATACTACGGTCTAGTGATATTTCTCTTCACTGGTAGGTAAGTCCATTCTCGTCAGAGGAGAATTGAACCACATTCTCGTCAGAGGATATTTCTCTCCACTCTTTTAGTGTAGATAATGTTGTTTGTTAAAAAAAAAAAAAAAAATGTGTTAATAGTACACATATCATTCATTCTATCTTCAATTTTATTAGGCTAAAGTACAAAAAATTACCTCAACTATTGGTATCACAACACTTTCATACCTTATCTTTTAAAATTGACAATGTTATACCTCATCTTTAGAATTTGGTCCAATGTTATACGTTACGTTACTTAGCCGTTTACTTTTCAGTTAAATGCTGACGTGACTTGATTCGGAGCCCACTTTCTATTAAAAAATCATTAAAATATTATTAAAAACTAAAAAAAAATTATTTAATATTTTTTTAATATTAAAATAATAATAAAAAGTAAAAAATAAAAAATAAAACAATTAAAAAAAAAAAAAACCCTTAGTTCGTCCCTCCCCCTCCCCCCTCCTCTCTCTTCTCCCCATCTTCATCTTCTTCCCCCCACCTGCAAACCCCCAAAAAAAAAAAAAAAAAAATTCAATTTGTCTTCCCCCCTCCCCACTTCCCCACGCCCCTGTCTCCCTCCTGTAACCCAGAAAAAAAAAAAAAAAAAAAAAAAAAAAACGAGATTCTATCGACGGGAAGATGGGTGGGGGGGGGGGGTGGTGGACAAAATGGGCTCACTTTGGATTTGTTTTTTTTTTTTTTTTTTTCTTCTCCTTCTTCTTCTTTCTGGGTTGCATGGGGTACACGAACTGGGTTGGGTTGAGTTTTTTTTTTGTTTTTCTTATTCTTCTTTTTCTTTCTGGGTTGCAGGGGGGTGGGTACTGGGTTGGGTTGGATTTTTTTTTCCTTCCTCTTCTTCTTCTTCCTCCTTCTCCTTTTTTTTTCCTCTCCTTCTTCTTCTTCCTCCTCCTTCTCCTTCTCCTTCTCCTTCTTCCGCAGGGGGCGTTGATGGGTTTTCAAAAAAAAAAAAAAAATTTCTTCATCCTTCTCCTTTGTTTCCTCTTCTTCTTCTTCTTCTTCCTCCTTCTCCTTCTTCCGCAGAGGGGGTTGATGGGTTTTCATTTTTTTTTTTTTTTACTTTTCTTAATTATTTTAAAAAATATGAAATAATTTTTTTTTAGTTTTTAATAATATTTTTTAAATTTTTTAATAGAAAGCAGGTCCCGAATCAAGCCACGTCAGCATTTAACTGAAAAGTAAATGACCAAGTAACGGAAGGTATAACATTGGACCAAATTCTAAAGATGAGATATGACATTGTCAATTTTAAAAGATGAGGTATGAAAGTGTCGTGACATCAATAGTTGAGGTAGTTTTTGCACTTTACCCATTTTATTATTCCAATTATTAGCCGAACATTACAAACAACTAGGGGTGGATTTTTTTACCAAATTGTCGTGCCAACCGAATTGCCAACCATGCCATACCGATTTTGTGCTAATCAGTAATGGTACGGTATTATACCATACCAAAATTTCATGGTACGGTATTAGTAATGGATACCACTACCACGGTATTACCATACCGTACCAAAAATATAATATAATTTATAAATTATATAATATATAATTATATAACACATATTTATAATAAGAAATTATTATTGGCATTCCAAAAATCTCATTTTGCACTCCAAACTTTCTATAATTAGAAAATAAAAGTCTACTTATATTAGCATTGTTGTTGGTGACTTTGATCTTTTGAGTTGGTGGAAATTAAACATAAAAGAGTTCCCAATTCTTTCACAAATAGCCAAGGATATCTTTGCAATCCCCACTTCTACCGTGGTTAGTGAAAATGCATTTAGCTTAGGGAGGAGTGTTGTGGACCCTTTTAGGGGCATCCTTGACTCCTAAAATGGTAGAGGCACTGTCTACTAGTTATTGACTTAGGGCGGATGAAGTAAACTTCTACAAGGAACTAACGGAAGATATGCTTCAATTTTACAAGGAAATGAAAGAAGTGAAAACAAGTAAGATATGCTTTGATTTTTTTAGTAAATTATTTATTAAATGATTTTCAACTTTACTTCTTCTTGCTACTAATATATTTTCTTTGTTTGTAATGTAGGCTTGACACGAGCTCAATCTTCTACGACTTCAATGTCTCCTCCAAAAGCTTCAACATCTCAAGCTTGAAGAATTGATTAATGAATCTTACTTTTTGAAGTTTAGTTCCAATTTCATTTGGTTTGAAACTTTAACTTCTATTTGGATTGTTAACTTCTATTTGTTTTGGTTCGTAACTTCTATTTGGATTGTAAGCTTAATTTTCATCATCAATCTTGATGCATCATTTGAATTATTGTGTGTGTGAATTGTGAATGATGAATAATAGATGAATTTAAGTTACAATGTATGAGATAAAGGTACAAACGAAAAAAAGTTTTGCCCTTGAATTGGGTTAAAAAAACAAAAATAGATTTTGTCTCAAAATAAAGTGACAATTACTATTGACATACCATGTCAACCAAACTATTTGATAGTACTAAACCTTGGTATACCGAAAATTTAGTATTGTAATGATAATAAATTTTGCGAAACCAAAAATTTAATACGGTAATTGATGCAAGGGATTTGATACCAACACTACAAACAACCACAATTTCACCAATTTCCGCCGAAAAATAAAAATAAATAAGAGTTAATTACAAAAAACTACCTCAACTACGGGTCAAATGACACTTTCATACCTCATCTTTTAAAATTGACAATGTCATACATCATCTTACGAATTTGTGTCAATGTTATACTTTCTGTTAGCTTGGCCGTTTATTTCTCAGTTAAATGCTGACGTGGCTTAATCCGGGACCTATTTTTATTAAAAAATTAATAAAAAATTTATTAAAAACAAAAAAAATCATTTAATATTATTTAAATATTAAAATAATAATAAAAAAGTACATAAAAAAATAAAAAACATTAGCCATCATCTTCCCTCTCCTTTCGTGCATCTCCCCCCTCTCTCTTCCGCATCATCTTCCTGCAACCCAGAAAAGAAGAAGGAGAAAGAAGAAGAAGAAGAAGAAGAAGAGAAAAAAAAAAAAAAAAAAAAAAACCCAAACCAAACCAAACCCAGTTCATCCCCCCTCCCCCCACCACAAACCCAACCCCCTGCAACCTAGAAAGGAGGAGGAAGAAGAAGGAAACCAAAAATAAAAAATAAAAAAAAATAAAAAAACAATGGGAAACCCAGTTCGTCCCCCCTGCAGAAGAAGAAGAAGAAGAAGAAGAAGAAGAAGAAGAAGAAGAGGAGGGAAGAAGAAGAAGAGAGAAGGAAAAAAAAAAAAAAAATTAAAGCAGCAAACCCGTCCCCTCTCACCCAACCCCACCCCCCCCCCCACCTAACCCGCAAAAGAAGAAGAAGAAGAAGAAGAAGAAGAAGAAGAAGAGGGAAGCAGAAGAAGAGAGAAGAAAAAAAAAAAAAAAAAAAAAAAAAAAAAAAAAAAAACCCAGTTCGTCCGCCCCCCTCGCACCCACCCTCTCCCCTCCACACCCATTCCCCCACCCCCCCCCCCTCCGGCGCCCCTGTCGCCCATTTTCTCCTCGCCCAGGAGAATGGGTTTTTTTTTCTGGGTTTTTTTTTTTTTTTTTTTGGGGTTATAGGTAGTGGGTGCGAGGTTGGGTGCAGAGGGTGGGGTGCGAAGGTGGGGAGGTTGGGTGCGTGGGTGTGGAGAGAAGAGGGGATGAGGAGCAGGGAAAACAAATTGGTTTTTTTTTTTTCTCTTCTGTTTTTCTGGGTTGTAGTTGCAGAAAGGGGAAGAAGATGAAGATGGGGAGAAGGGAGAGAGGGGGAAGGGACGAATTGGTTTTTTTTTTTTTTTTTTTTATTAACTTTTCTTCATTATTTTAATATTTAAATAATATTAAATGATTTTTTTTTTTTTAATAATTTTTTAATAAAAATGGGTCCCGATCAAGCCACGTCAGCATTTAACTGAGAAATAAACGGCCAAGCTAACGGAAGGTATAAAATTGACACAAATTCGTAAGATGAGGTATGACATTGTCAATTTTAAAAGATGAGGTATGAAAGTGTCATTTGACCCATAGTTGAAGTAGTTTTTTGTAAATAACTCAATAAATAAAATAAAACAGAGTTTACAGAGAGTGCGTGTGCGTGAAAGCTCTCAACTTTCGTTCTCGTAGATCGCTGATTCAGTTAAGAGAAAATCGGTCGACGTCGCGAGCTCACCATAATTCTTTGGAGAGAGAGAGAGTTGAGCTGATCTTGGCGGTGGTTGTGGTGGTGGGGAGATGGCGATACTGTACGCGCTGGTAGCACGAGGATCGGTGGTGCTGGCGGAGTTCAGCGGCACGTCGACGAACGCGAGCACAATCTCCAGGCAAATTCTCGAGAAAATCCCCGGCGACAGCGACACCCACGTCTCCTACTCTCAAGATCGCTACATCTTCCACGTCAAGCGCACCGATGGCCTCACCGTCCTCTGTATGGCCGACGAGACCGCCGCCCGTACGTCGTCGTTTTGTTTGACCCAATTCTCAATTCCCCTCCCCAAATTTCTATTTTTTTTTTTTTTTTATTTTGTTCGATGTTTTTATGCAGGGAGAATGCCATTCGCTTTTCTTGAAGACATTCATCAGAGGTTCGTGAGGACCTACGGCCGCGCTGTTCATTCGGCTCAGGCTTACGGCATGAACGATGAGTTTTCTAGGGTTTTGAGCCAGCAGATGGAGTATTACTCCAATGATCCTAATGCCGATAGGATCAATCGACTCAAAGGCGAAATGAGCCAGGTAAAAAAATGTCAATTTTGTCACCAACTGATCAAGTTCAATTGTGGACTTTGGTTCCAATTTGTTTGCTCTTTTTCGTATTGATTGCGGTTTGATTTCTTATTCAGTTTTCGGATTTGTAGGTGCGAAATGTGATGATTGAGAACATTGACAAAGTTTTGGAAAGAGGGGATCGCTTGGAGTTGCTGGTTGATAAAACTGCTAATATGCAAGGCAATACCTTCCGGTTCAGAAAGCAAGCTCGCCGTTTCAGAAGCACTGTGTGGTGGAGAAATGTTAAGCTCACGTATGTTTCCTAAGCTCAAAGCTCAATTCAATAGCTACAGAAACTTCGAAATTATCAATTTTTTGTGTCTTTTCATCTTATGCTTTGAAAGAGTTGTGTGTACTTTGTGCAATGGTTACATTTTCATGTGAGACAGTCACATTACTATACTGTCAATTCATCTACGTATTCAAACCACAGTTATATTTGATTATCATGCAAGAGTGTTTTATGTAATTGTTACGTTGCTAGACTGTCAATTCAACTATGTATTGAACCCACAGTTTGTGCTATTGTCTGGCACGAGTGTTTTATGCAACCTTGATGCTTTTATGTCAGCCGGTATGGAATGTTATGAATTCAGCTATGTATACAAACCACAGCTTGTGTTCGATTGTCTGGCAAGAGCGTTTTATACTTTTGTGTAATGGGTATTGTTTTATATCTGACACTCTGGCATATTAGTTGTCTGCCCCTCGTTACCAAGTGCATTGAATTTTGCAGGGTTGCATTGATATTCCTTGTGCTAGTAGTAATTTATGTTGTGCTGGCTTTCGTTTGCCATGGCCTCGCACTACCCTCCTGCTTGAAGTAGTGAATGACAAACAACAAACAAGTGAGATTGGAATGTGCTTTCTCTTCGTTTTCTTCCTCTTCTGGGTATATGAGATTCTTCTATTTAAACTTCCACTGACGTAAGTTGTCAGATTCTTGTGTTTATGTGATTTCAAATCGCTCATTTGCGTGTGTAGTCCATGGGAGTTTTGGCCGCAAGGTTGTATGTTTCTTGAAAACCATAGCTTGATGAGCTTATTATATTTATGGCTGGTCTTATTTATCTAGTTCTTTCGTGCATTATGAATTCGATTAATAGACCGAAGAGCTTTGTTCGTGAGTGAGTGTATGAATGCAATTCAAAAGAAACAGCAGTCATCTTTAAAGAGGATATTTCTACATACCGTTGTATGTTACACTTGGTTATCCTCTACAAGATGAAGCTTGTTTAATAACTCCACCAATGCTTGTAAGGTAGTCTTATAATGTTCTTCCGATTGTGCCCCTTCTTCTGCAACGGGAAGGGCAAGTTTATAGAGATGATTATACCAGTACACTGGGTTATACATATCGATGTTACTGGAGCCGTGATCGAGAAGATACCTGCACTTGAAATCTTTACTCCAACGCGGCAGAATGTAGCACGATGGGACTTCTTCCACGCCGTTATAATTAAGAACGTTCAACGTATGCCTGCATAGATAACCTTTGTAGTTGAACAAACTGCAGATGCATCGGATATTGACCTGTGTTGTTTCGTACAAAACCTCATAGCATCTGACTTCCTTCTCGTTTCCTTCAACTTCAACCCGTTCCTTGACTATGTGGGTCGGTATAGGCCCGTTCACATTCACCTGCCTTGTGTTGAAACAGGAGTACATGCCCTCAACCTCCAACTGGAACCTCCGGAAAATTTCCTTCGTATATACCTTCCGTAGCTGTTCTCCGAAATTACATCTCGTTTTTAGTTCAACAATTGAACTTCTCGACTCCACATCCGCTGCCACCTCTTTGACGCGCTTCCTATGCAGCGATAAAATCGTACTTATCAACAAATTCCTTAAACGACGTATGCTTATGTACATAACCATCAAAAAATGGCGTCAAGCTCTTGTTTTCTCGGATAGGGATCATTCCTGCGAAAACTGTGTCTTTTACGTACACTGGCACCCACATCTGCCGATCTTCATACAATGTCTGAAGCCATCTATTATCCCCCAGTGTGTGCCGCTTGATCAGTTCCGCCCATGAAGTTTCGAATTCAGCTATCTTCAAGGAATTATAGACTGCGTTGTGTAATTGTCTCTTGATTTCGTCGTATCCCCTCAGCCCTCCCAATTTCTCTGGAACTCTCTGCATGATATACCACAAACAATAGCAATGGCGAGCATTCGGTATAACCTCAGACACTGCATTTTGCAGGGGCTTGCATTGATCGGTAATGAAGACTTGTGGAGGGCCCCCGAGCATGCATTTGAGCCACGCCCTGAGCATCCAAACGAAATTTTCCACTGATTCTTGCCCAAGGAAGCCGCAGCCCAACAAAACTGATTTTCCATGGTGATTTATGCCAACAAATGAAATCAGGGGGATTTCAAATTTGTTTGCCAAGCATGTTGTGTCGATTTCAACTGCGTCACAAAAGTAGCCATATGCAGCCCTGGACCTAGCATCAGCCCAAAACACATTCCTCAGGCATCTGCCGTCATCAAGATCCATTAGATAATAGAAATTAGGGTTCGTCAATTTCATGCGACAAAAGTACTTGTAAACTGCATGAGCGTCTCCTTCTTTAAGTTCCAAGTGTTTAGAGAGATCAGTCGAATTCAAACCTTCAGTTTCGCTAAACTTTGAGTATCCACTGCACCCAACGTCCAAAACAGGTGTTCGATACAGCTTGACAGTGTGAACTTCTGTAACAGGCTCCGGTTGCAGTTGTGCACTTTTGGCAGCAAGGATCATTTTCTTATGTGACTTGTAAAACCTTTTGATTTGGGGACTCACCTGATGATTGTGTTCAAGCTCTAATTCGACTATTCTCCACCGTTTGGAGTCCACCAGCCTGATAACTACCATTGCAGGACAACCAGTTCTTGTTTCGGGTCTTGGATTATTGGCTTCGCTCTTTTTCTTGAAACCTGCACTGCTGCAACTTAACTTTGCTCGATACCGCTCTTTTCTCTTTGATCTGAACCATGAATTGCTTACTCTGATGCCAAGTCCCTGCTCTTTCCCATAGATATTGTAAAAATCATAGGCTTCGTCAAATGAATCGAACTCCAAACCCACCGTAGGTTCTCGGGGGTCCTTTTTTCTGTGTGTTTCCCCAGTTCCATTATCATGCTCGGTAAAATCTCCCTCCAATTCATAGTCATCCCCTTCGTCAAATACAGGCTCGGTGTTGAGAGAAACTTGTTCCATCTGAAGTAACAATCATACAAGAAAAATCCTTTCGGACACCATTAAACCAAAAGTTTGAATGACAAATGCAACCTTGAATTTCAAAGTTTCACGATTTACAATGAATTGCAAAGCCAGTTGAGCGCCCAGCTGCACATGGCACGACGGAACAGGAATGTGATTCCGCCGTGCCTAACGAACCCTCCTCCCTTTTCAGGCTAAGGCACGACGGTATCAATAAAAGTAACCCTATACAAAACATCCATTTTTGTACATCAGTAGTAAAAGGGTGAAAATCTCATCACTTTGAGCATGCATTTGTCAGAAACTCCAAAGTAACAAAGGGTAAAAGTTTTTATCCACTCAAACAATTCTTTCAATCCACAGCAGCAGTAAAAACATTACAGTAAGATATACAACCAAAAAATTTTAAAAATATTTACAATTTCACAGACAAATGCACAATCGATAACCCCATAATTAAGGATTAAAGAACTTGAATGCCGTTATTTACCGTTGAATTTGCTTATTCTAAACCTAAAATACAGATTAAACACAAAATTTAACTTTCTTTCACTTTCCCACCTTTTCTCGGCTTCCAAACAGTTGCTAATAATCCAATTCCAAGGTCAAAACGATCCACTTAATCTCATAACTAAATGCAAAAACACGGAAAATTAGGGTAATAGAGTGAGAATTTAGGCGATCTTACCGCGATTTACCGGGTCGGAGTCGCCGGGGCGGGAAACCCACTGTCAGAGACTCGGAGGATTGGGGCTGAGTCGGGGCGCTCCGAGTTAGCTGCTGGTGAAGGAAAAGTGCGAATCACACTAGGGATTACAGAGCTTCCACAAATCTATCAACCCTGTGCGCTGACACGTGGGCTAAAACCTCATTATATTTTCTCTTCCAATGGTGATAGCTTCTGTAAGCAGTGCTATTCACACATCTTGTTAATTTTTATCTATTGATCTTCAGTTATTCATTTCAAAGTTTGTTTGCTTTGGGTATGTTTTCATTTTTCCACTTGAAGTTTGTCCTTTTTGTCTAACATTTGTGAACTACACCCAATAGGTGTTGTCTTCAAGTACATCCATTGATGTTCGTACGCTAGATGTAAATGAAACTTTTGAAGAGGTTATGAGGCCCAAAGTTCCATATGAAACCATTGAATTGGTGTTAAAGATGTTCTTCCTTTACTAAGCTTATTCTATCCCTCTGCATCTCACAATATACCGCACCCTCTTGGTCTTTAAAATGATGTTTGTCTTGTTAGTTTGTTGACGCCAGTGACTTGTCTAACTAGCACAAGGCACGTTCCCAACTAGTTTATGTATTTACTATTACGAACATAGCAATATTTTGGAGGTCTATGAAATAGACCTTAGTTGCAACGCTTTGAATCAATGCTTCATCTGTGCTTTTTTTTGTTTTTTTCGTTCGTTGCCATCTCCCTCAACCGAATTCGAGGCTTCGAGATAGGTATAGACCTCGAGCACCACCATCATTACACATGCAGGTGTAGTACATGGCTCCCTGATCACGACGTCTAGATTATTCCGCTGTTGACGAAATAGGTTTCCTCACAACGCCACACGTGAGTGGATATTAGCCGTCATTCAGCATATTCGAAGCACTTACATATTTTCATCCATCTTTAAGTCCTAACTACGATTCATGAAGACAATGTCACATGTATCAACCAGATCAAGAAATGATGCATCAGCAAAGTCAACACCTAGCTTATTGCATCTACATCACATCAACAAACCATCAGAAGATTGAAGTCAAGTAGATTTGTAACACAGACAATATGGTCGACCTCTTCATGAAGTCACTGCTGGAATCAACCTTTAAGAAGCTTGTTCGAGGAATTGGCAAGCGTAACTATCTCATTTTCAATACTTATAGTTCTCAAGGGGAGTATCCGGAAGTATACTTACTTGACCTTAATACATTTTTTCCCCTTAGATCATGAGCTTTTCCCACTGGGTTTTTGCTAACCCAAAGAGGTTTTGGCGAGACACCATTCTAGGATGGTCATACCCTTGTATGCTTTTTCTAGTACTTATGTCCTAAAGATGTTAAGCATCGACATGTTGCATTAACGCACATTTTCCTACTTAGACTATAGGTTTTGTCCCATTTGGTTGTATTATAGCATGTTTTGGTGAGACTTACTCCTACTTGCAATTTCTATATGATACTCACGTTTGCTACTTGTTCCAACTAGAAGAGACGACTTCATCAACTAATTCTACATTTGCATGAAGATCTGATACGACCACTACTTGAGTATTTGCACGGAAGAGTGTTATAAATATATTTTATATGATATGATTGTGTAAATTTGTAGTAGATTTGATTTAGAAACTATGTAGTCTAGGAGAGTCTTTTCCTACTATACTTTGTATTCTTGGGAAGCAAGTTTCTTTCTCCTTATTGTTTACTATATATAAAGGCACAAGGCATGAAGGATAAAACTACAATTCCTCACACCCTTCTCTTCCTTCTTGGCGCACCCCTCTTCTTCTCCTTCTAAATTTTAGGTCACAACACTATACTCTTCTAAAAGCCGGTGGACAGGTACTATGTTAGAGTAAAATGTAGAAATATAGAGAATAATCTGAATGATAACTTTGAGGTACGACTTGAATCGTTTCCTTAAAGTGTTATTTGCCCCCACTCGAATGAGTTTGCTAAAGGGTTCTTGGCAAGTCACTTCCAAGATACAACAAAGTATGGAATATTCGATTAGCAAAATCGAATTATATTCCCTTAGAAATAACTAAAAAGAAATTGTATGAATGTGATGGAGAGAAAAGAGAGTAAGGAATGTAGAAACAAATTTCTAAAAATTGTGTGTGAAACATTATGCCACAATAGGTATTTATATGCATTAAATCACCCGTTCATTGAGTCCTTTCATTTTAGTTGAAGATATACAACCCTTCTTAATAGTGTTGACCCAAAAGACACGTCTTCTATTTAGAATTTTCAGAAAATAAATTTTGATTATTTATATGTTTTAATTCTACTCATACAATTTGAGTAAGCATCATATCTTTTAACTAAAAGTTGTAACCATTCAACTAATTACATTTGCTGCGCATTGCAGCACCCTTCATCATACACACACGTTGCACAATGCAGTACCAAGTCATTATATATATATATATATATGTATGTATGTATGTATGTATGTATGTGTATATATAAAATATAATGTGTATATATATATATATAAAATAATTTATATATTTATTATTGAAATCTCTAACAATAATGTAGAAATGTAGAGAATAATCCGAATGATGAAATCTTAAAGTGTTATTTTCATCATGGAACAAGTCTGATAACATGGCTTTGAAGATTATCAATCAAGATGTCTACAAGTTATACAAATTTGATGGATCAAACTTCATCTGATGGAAGAATAAGATGCGTTTCATGCTTACTATTCTAAAAGTCATTTATGTGTTGGACCCGAAATTAGAGCCTATTCGTGAACCAAGTGACGAAGACTCGGACAAAATAGTTGACAATCGAAAGAAGCGTGAATAAGATGAATTGGTATGCCAATGACACATCTTGGGCGCATTGTCTGATCGCTTATATGACATGTACACACACATTCAATCTCCAAAAGAAATATGGGAAGCACTTGAACACAAGTACATAATGGAGAAAAGAGGTACCGATAAATTTTTAAAGTTCAAATATTATAAATTCACTATGTTTGATAACAAACTCATCCTAGATCAAGTTCATGAATTATTGGTCTTGGTCTCAAAGCTTCGTGAACTTAAAATAGTTATTCCGGATCCATTGATAGTTGGGGCTATTATAGAAAAATTACTCCAAACATGGAATAACTATAGAAAGAAACTTCTACACATGGTGGAAGATATTAGTTTGGAAGATTTGCAAAAGGGTATTCAAATTGAAGAGGAAACTCAAAATCGTGATAAGAATTTTGTCAATTAAGATTCCTCCAAAGTTCACATTGTTGAAGGAAACAAATACAAAAAGAACTTCAAAGTCAAATTTGATAAAGGGAAGTTTAAAAAGACCAATTCCAACAACAATCAAAAGAATGCAAATAGTGTCTGCTACCATTGTGGAAAGAAATGTCATTACAATCGTGATTGTAGACACAGAAAAACAAGTGAGAAATATGCCAATAAGACCAATAACGCAAATATGATGGAAAACTCTAGAATTGATAACATTGTTGCAGTGGTATCAATGATGCATGTTGGCATGATTATCAAACTGAATATGACAGTGGCAATAAAATCCTCTGATTGTGGTTCGACTCAGGAACTACTATACATGTGTGCAATGACAAGGCATAATTCATGACATATGAAACATCAACGAACAATCAAGAGGTTTTAATGGGGAATCATAATTCCGCCAAAGTTCTAGGAAAATGAACCGTTGAACTTTAGTTTACTTCTGGGAAGAAATTGACGTTGCTTAATGTACTGCATGTTCCAGAAATTAGAAAGAATCTTGTGTCTATAAATTTATTATGTAAGAACGGTATAAAGACTATTCTAGAGCCCGACAAGTTAATAATGTCGAAAAATTGAATGTTTGTTGGAAAGGGGTATTCTTGTGATGAGATGTTCAAACTAAGTATTAATAATAAAGTGCTTTTTTCTACTTATATTGTTGAATCTTCCTCTCATTTATGGCATTTATGTTTAGCACATATAAATTTTAGATCTTTAAATTACATAAGCACACTTGGTTTAATTGCTTGCAATGATGATTATAATGATTAATGTGAAACATTTATTCAAGCGAAAAATGACTAAGAAACCTTTTTCAACTGCTGAAAGAAATAAAAATTTAGTAGACTTAATACATTCTGACATATGTGAATTTAATGGTGTTTAACAAGAGGAGGAATGATGATTATAATGATTAATGTGAAACATGTATTCAAGCGAAAAAGGACTAAGAAACCTTTTTCAACTGCTGAAAGAAATACAAATTTATTAGACTTTATACATTCTAACATATGTGAATTTAATTGTGTTTAACAAGAGGAGGAAAAAGATATTTTATCACATTTATAGATGATTATTCTAAGTTCACTTATGTTTATTTATTGTCTAATAAAGATGAAGCCTTTGAGTGTTTTAAGCGCTATAAAGCTGAAGTTGAAAACCAAAAAGGAAGGAAAATTAAATGCCTTAATAGTGATAGAGGTGGTGAATATTTCTCACATGAATTTGATATTTTTTTGTGAAGAGCATAGTGTTATACATAAAAAAATTACACCATATACACCACAACAAAATGGTTTGGCAGAAATAAAAAATAGGACACTCGCTTAAATGATTAATTCTATGATGCTTAATGCTAATACTCCAAAATATTTATGAGGTGAAGCATTGTTTACTGCATGCCATAAACACAATAGAATTACATCTACGAAGACACATGTGTCACCATATGAAATTTGGAAAGGAAGAAAACCAAATTTGTCATATTTGAGAGTGGGGTTGTGTAGCCTTTTATAAGGCACTGGACCTTAAGAGATCCAAGTTGGGTCCAAGAGGAATTAAAAGCATATTTGTAGGATATGCAGAAAATTTAAAGGCATATTGTTTACTTAATTTAGACTCAAATACAATAGTTGAGTTTAGAGATGTCAAATTTATTATAAATTCTATAACGACCACTCAATATCTGGAAAAAAGAATGATCAAACACTTTTATCTAATCCGGCTTGTAATCATTCTCAAGGTGAGAAAAGAAAACATTAATCAAGCAAGGAAAAGTCAAAGAGTAAGAAAAGAAAAGACTTTAGGCTCTGATTTTATTTCATCTCTATTTATTGTATTTTTAGTCGAAGCAAATAAAACAAAGGTTCTTAAAAAAATACCCATATTGTTGAATGTTGAGGATGATCCTAAAAGTCTAAGCAAAGCAATGACTTCAAGAGATGCAGCCTTTTGGAAAGAGGTTATAGATGATGAATTTGAATAATTGATATTTAATCAGACATGGGTTTTAGTAGACTTGCCTCAATGATCAAAAGCAATAGGTTGTAAGTGAGTATTTACAAGAAAATACAACACAGATGGGTCTATTCAGACATTTAAAGCCAGGCTGGTTGCCAAAGGTTTTAAGCAAAAAAAAGGAATAGACTATTTCGATACATATGCATCAGTAGCTAGACACACATCAATTAGAATATTGTTTGCATTGGCATCTTTATATATAATTTGCATGTGCATCAAATGGATGTGAAAACGGCTTTTTTTTTTAAATGGTGATTTAGATGAAGAAGTCCATATGAAATAACCAGAAGGGTTTGTTCTCCCTGAGAATGAAAAGAAGGTTTGTAAATTAGTAAAGTCGTTATATGAATTGAAGCAAGTACCAAAACAATGGCATGAAAAGTTTGATTTTGTCATTTTATCATATGGATTTAGACATAGCAATGTTGTTAAATGCATATACTCTAAATTCACAAATGATTATGGTGTTGTTATATGTTTATATGTCGATGACTTGCTAATTTTTGGTACAAACATGAAAGGTGTTTCTGAAACTAAAGAGTATCTAAATTCAAAATTTAAGATGAATGGCTTGAATAAAGTAGATCCTATCTTAGGAATTAAAGTAAAGAAGCATAGTAGAGGTTACGCTTTGTGTCAGTCACATTATATAGAAAAATTGCTTCTTAAGTTTAAGCATCTACAAATAAAAGAAGCAAATATCCCTTATGACCCTAGTGAAACTTTGCTTAATAATTTTGGTAAGTCCGTTGCACAGCTTGAGTATACTAGTATAATCAGAAATTTAATGTGTGTCACGCATTGTACCAGACCAAATATCGCATTTGCAGTAAGCAAACTTTCTAGATACACTAGTCATCCATGTACTGCTCATTGGAAAGTAATAAATAGAATTTTTGGTTATCTTACAAGAACTATTAACCTGAGTTTAACTTACTTTGAGTTTCCAGCAGTACTTGAAGGATATTCAGATGCAAGTTGGATAACAAGTGCTAATGATAATAAGTCTATATCAGGGTGGATTTTTACAATTGCCGAAGGAGCAATATCTTGGGCTTCGAATAAGCAAACATGTATAGCACATTCAACTATGAAATCTGAATTTATAGAATTAGCAGAGCAGGTAAAGAAGCGGAATGAATCAGAAATTTGTTATTGGAAATAGAGTTGTGACTACAACCAATGCCATCCATTTCTTTATATTGTGATAGTGAGACTACTTTGTCTAGATCATACAATAAGGTATATAATAGAAAGTCTAGACATATTAGCTTGAGACATGAATATTTTAAGCAATTAATAACTAATGGAGTTATTAATATTATTTATGTTAAATCAAGTAATAACTTGGCGGATCCGTTAATGAAAGCACTTTCAAGAGTTTTGAAAGTTAGTACATCTAGTAGAATGGGGCTAAAACCCTTTACTGAAAATTAGCCACCAATAATGGTAATCCAACTTTGTCTAGAACATCACTAGTCCAAAAGTTTAGTGAGTAATAACAAGTTATTGTTAAGTGGTTGTGAAAGCACTAAAAATTAATATATAGCTCATTTCAGGATGATCAGTGCAAGACTGCTACGTTTAGAAGGATGAGTTTTATCTTTTAATAAGGTTATTTATAATTATGTCTATAGTAGCAGGGACATGGGAAGGAACCTTACCTATATGAACATAAGAAGTGGTGCCGCCTCTGCCAAGAATTGGGTTTCCTCTTGTAAATGTTTATGAAACTAGGATGAAACACAAGGCCATAAATAGTGCTTAATTAATTCAGAAATTTCTTTAAGGAAATAAGACATAATCATATGTGTAGTGATTCCGGTTTTAACATAAGAATATGTGGTTTAAACTTAGGTCACCATCGCATTCATTATAACTTTGAGTTACTTACACTAATTGAAGGTTTAACTCGAAAGACACATTTATTGTATACATGATTATATCAGTATGTTTGTGGTTAATTATAAAGAGAGAAATGTTATTATTTATCATATTATTGAAATTGAGAAGGATTGTTAGAGATTTCAATAATAAATATATAAATTTTATATATATATATAATATTATATATATATATATGTACGTACGTACGTACATACATACATACATACATACATACATACATACATACATATATATATATATATAATGACTTGGTGCTGCATTGTGTAGCGTGTGTGTGTGTATGGTAAGGGGTGCTGCAGTGCGCAACAAATGTAATTAGTTGAATGGTTACAATTTTTAGTTAAAAAACATGATAATTACTCAAATTGTATGAGTAGAATTAAAAGATATAAATAATCAAAATTTATTTTCTAAAAATTCTAAATACAATACATGTTTTTGGGTTAACACTATTAAGAAGGATTGTATATCTTCAACTAAAATGAAAGGACTTGATGAACGGATGCTTTAATGCCTATAAATACCTATTGTAGCATAATATTTCACACACAATTTTCAGAAATTTGTTTCTACATTCCTTGCTTTCTTTTCTCTCCATCACATTTATACAATTTCTTTCTAGTTATTTCTAAGGGAATACAATTTGATTTTGCTAATCGAATATTTCATACTTTGTTGTATTCTAGAAGTGACTTGCCAAGAACCATTTAGCAAACTCATTCGAGTGGGAGCAAATAACACTTTAAGAAAACGATTCAAGTCGTACCTCAAAGTCAACATTCGAATTATTTTTTGTATTTCTACATTTTACTCTAACATACTATTTATTAACAGTGCCAACCTGGTTTTGTCCCTCATTCTCTTGATGGTTTTTAAGTTTTAGTGGGGTTGTATGGTGAATTGGCCATTTTGCCCCTCTCTCGTTTTTCTTCCTGTGCGTGCGTGTTGTGTTTTCAAGGGTTCCCATCTTTCACTTTTCACTTTCCTCTTCTTTTCTTCTTTCCGTTTCTCTCTATTTTTCTCATCTGTATTTTGGTATCGATTCCGATCGAATTCTCTACAAGGTGTTTGCCCTTTTTCCCCTTGTTTTCCACGAAGGAATCGCTCGCGTCTAGGTATGTTGATTTACACGTTTGTTTATTTTCTGTTTGGTTAGCAAGAAAATTTTATAATTGATTGTTGCCAAATTCGGCTCTTCAACTTTTTGCCCAGCATTTTCTTTGTTTTTTCGTGCTCCACGTTTGATTGTTATCTCTAATTTTATATTTTGGTTGCCGGAAACATTTTTCTTCCAGTTTTAGGGTTTTATTCTCTGAGTTTGCGTGCCTTTTTTGGCTCAGGTATATAATTCATCTCTTTGGTGTTAATTTTGTTTTTGTTTGGGTTCTTTGATTTTCTGTGCATCCATCTTTCCCTCAAACTAAAAAAAAAAAAAAAAAAAAAAAGGAGGGATAGTCATCCTTCATTTTTGGGTTTTGCTCTGCATGTTTCGGTTTTTTGGTGTGGGTGAGGATTTTTTATTTTTTTATTTTTATTTATTTTGTGTTTTAGTTAAACGGTTAAACATATCTTAGAAACATTTTTCTCTTATTTTCAGAATCGGTTCAAAATTGGGTATATGATCGTTTGATTTTTTAAAACCATACAAATTCTCATGAATAGTATTTTTAAGGGAGTTCAAATTAAACAAAATTCTTAATCATTAATGTATAAGTTTGAAAGATGTGAAAGCATAATAAATATTAATAATGGCATCCTCAATGCTTAGACGAGGGTTACATAGTCGTTTAGATTTTTAAAACCCTCCAAATCTCATGAACAATGTTTTTTATTTAAGTGCAAAATTAATAGTAATTATTGTAGAAGTGTGAAAAATGTAATCACTCATAATAAAAAGTTTTACAACTTTCATGAAGGGTCAACTCCGAAATTTAGTATGTATATACTAATTTAGTATTATGTTTTACAGTTTTTTGGGTCAAATTATGTTTTTCATTTTCATTTTTTATTGATTTAAAAAATATTTTTCTTAATGGGTAACTGATCGGGTCATATTACCTGATAATATTAACGGGTTGATTTTGGATCAGGTCATATTACCCATTTACTTTAACGGGTATTACACGACACGACCCGTTAAGTTATCGGGTATGACACGAAAACAACACGAATACGAGAAACACAACGCAAATGCCAGGTTTAGAAGAGAGAAAGAGAGAGAGAGAGAGAGTTAAAAAATGTAGTCAGTGTGAGTTCACGTAAAATTCCTTTCACAGTTTCATTGCGGCATAGATTAGCTTAACCATTATCTCTTAAGAGCTAGAAGGTTATCCAGACGATTACATGTTATAGGTTAAAAATTGAGGAGACAATATGACTAATAGATCATGACAAAAACTGTGTATCATATTGAGGAGACAATATGACTGATTTGGATTTTTTTTCATTGGTGAAAAAGATGGTTAGCAGTAAATTGGTTGTATTTTTATTTTTATTGAATTCAGGTAGCCATGTTCAGTTTTTCAGTTTGATTTGAAGGAATTTCTTGTGCAGAAGAGCTAGGGTTTCTTGGTGAGCTCTTCGCGTTGTGCATCTATTTTCTTTTGTTAAAATTTGGGGCTCTTGTTATTGTGATTTCGGGTATCATGATTTTGGGGATTTTGTTTGTAGGTTCAGATTCCCCATCATGGTGTATAATTTTGTTTTGTTTTTGGCTTTAGGATATCGTGGTTTTTTGGATTTGGGACTTTTGTTTGCAGCCTTCAGAGCCCTGTGTATTTGAGGTGAGCGATTTCAAGATTTTAGGGTTTTGATTTAGAGTTTTGTTTGGTTTTTGGTTATATTGGAGTTGAATTTGCTTTTTTGTTGTCGATTATATTGAAATCAGAGCTTGGGTTTAGATTTTTATTTGGTTTAGATTATAATTTTCTGCACTTATTGGATTTGATAAGTTCAGAATCGGTTATTAGATTTTTGTGTTTGCAATCATCTGCAGGTAAATTTCAATTTGGAAAAAAAAAATCTCTGCTGCATTTCGGTTCCTACAATAATTTTAGCTCCTGAAGTAGCTTTCAGCTGTCAAGGTTACAAACAATTAAGTGTGTTTGTAAGTGCTTTTTGCTTTCGTAAGATTGTGTTAAAGATTATATAATACTATCACTAAATATATTTTATTGCATAAGACACCAATTTTCATCTTTGTTGTACTAAACTGTAAAAAACTTATCTTTTCTGAGACGTTATTCAAATTCTCAACCCAGCTATTTATCCAATTTCACTTACTCTTTATTTTTCAATGCATTTGTTAGTATAAATTAATACAACGTTAGTCAAAACTAAACAACTTACAAATTATGCTCAATTTATTTTTAATAATTTTTTTGTTGTTATAACCCACAAACTTTCTTATTCCGCAGCAACGCACGGCACCACTTCCTAGTTATACCTATACTAAAACTCAGATGAAAAACACTTTTCACCAACAGTGCATTCACAAAGCTGCTCCTCCAACTAAGCCATCGCCGCTCTCTTCTTCTCTCTCACAAAACTAAGCCATCGCCGCTGTTCTTCTTTCTAAAAAAAACCACGATCCTCGACATTTCTGTCAACATTCGAGCTTTGCATGCACAAATTCGTTTCGTGTATAAACAAATTTTTTAACAGTCGAGCTATGTTAAATAGATTTGTCCAACTTTGTATGAATAATTAGTGAATTATTTGTTGTTTTAGGTTTTTAATTTGGATTTTTTGTGTGGGATTTGTTACATTGTTTTGTTTGTTACTGGGTTTTCTTTGCGATTTGTTCCTTTTTTTTTTTCTTCTTGGATTATTATTTTGATTTTGTGCATTTTTAGGTTAGTTGGTTGTGGGTTATGATTAAAATATTTTGATTTTGTGCGGTTTTTCGAGGAACTATGATTTCCATATCCATTAAAATATTTTGTAATCAGAGGCAATTACTTAGAGTAGACCCCCAATTTAGACCCCCAATTTTGCTTCAATTAGTTCATCCTTTTTTTTCGGATTTTTGTGCAATTATTTTGAATCCTAAATGATTCGAAATTCAAATTTATGTGCAAATTGAGAAGTGTCGGTGTAGACCCCCAATTCGTTGGAGGCTTTCAGATTTCTAAAGGCTAAAGCATCTTTCTTTTTCGAAACTGGGCCGTCTTAATTCGAAACTGAGCATAATTTGAAACTGGACCAAAACCAAGATTAATTTACCTTCGTGTATACTACTCTTCCCCATGAATTTGTAGACCAAATTCAGTGAAGTATGGAGAGAATTTCAAATTTTCTCTTATTTCCGGTATGGATGAGAGAACGACAGCTCTATGTTTTTCTATCAATTATCAAACGAGACGAATGACTGGTTTGGTATTGTTGTGCTTTGAAAAAAAATTCTTTTGCTGTGATGTGAGAATAAGCAGCTGTGAAATAAAGCAGCATAGTGTTTGGTAAAAGTGATTTTGGAAGAAAAAGCAGCATTATAGTGTTTGGTAAATTTTTATGTAAAACAATTGTGACTATGTGGAATGACCAAAAATGGTATAATACTAGATATGCTATGAATTTAATTTTCTTAACAAATAAAGGTGAATTATTAAATATACTTTATTTTTAAAAGAAAAAATATTTATAAACTTTATCTTAAATATTAATTAGTATGACAAACTACTTCAATTGAAATATTTTAGACTGAATAGCTAAGATTCATTAGTACAATATTGTTAATGTACTTGAAAATAGTCTAATTAGATGCATTCATCAAACTTGGCGCTATTATATTTCTTAACGCTTCTATCTCATGTGATCCTTTAACTTAATAATTTTGGTATTCTTCTTCGTCATCATCACTATTATCGCTTTCTTCACAAAAATCCCTGGGGTCATCACGTTCGGAATACCTTCGTATGTAGTTATGAAGAGCCATTGTAGCAATGACAACGAAATGAAGGACGTGAAAGTTTTTTGTGGCGTCATCATATTGCTCTGAAAAGAACATGTGTAGGGGGTTTAGGGTTGAGATAAAGCATACCATAATCAACTCAAACCAGTCTATTATACCTTAATGCAATAGTTCGATTTGGCAATGCAATCACGCAAAAATGGCGCAACCGAAAGATCTCTATGACAGATCAAAAAGGGTCGGGAAGAAAAAGGAGAAAGAAATGGACTCAGACAAGATATTGACAATTTAATATACCGAAAACCAGCATACATTTAAACGAAAGAGGATCCATTTCATAATCATAACAGAGTCTACATGATAGTGATTCTAACATCCAGAAAACCAGCAAAAACATCCTAAAGACAGGAAAGTGGAGAACTTAAACGATGGCATTGGTAGCACTCGCAATTCTAGGCCACAGATCTGCACATTCCTTTCCGATAGGTCCGGTGATTGCAGACCCTACAACAATACCAAGAAAATATGAGTTACTATTCAGTACAACAAGTGCAAGTGAAATGAAGAACATTATTAAGATGATGGTCCTACAACGTTAAATTTTAATAAAAGTAATGCCAGATGACGTAATTGCATTTCAGGCAGACAAGTAGTTTCAAATCAGCTGAAACTAAGACAACCTTACTTTGGACTTATGACAGTATTCTCAAGGCTCTATAAAGCTCTGAAACCACAGGATAGTATATTATCATATTGAAGTTATTAATAGGCGAAGATGTTATAGAATCGCTACACACCTTTCATTTCTCCCTTCAGATTCACAATAACACCAGCATTATCTGCATCACAAGAACAATCATGGTCAGAAACCTTGAGAAGCAGAACCATTTTATCACCATAAGAGCAGATCTTAACCTAAAAGCACTCCGAGATACTTCAATTTTCCAAAAATGAGCTAAACTAATACTGCAACGCAGAATATTTACAACCTTCTTCCTAAATTCTCTACACTGTCCGAACCAAAAATGGTCAACTTAATGTCAAATTCATACGGAAATAAAACGCACCATATGTTAACAAAAAGTATATAATCAATCAGAGTAACCATCCTAAACAACCATTCAAATTCCAAAATCCCCAATTGCCCACAACTAGTCCCCAAACAATATTAACAAAAACAAGGTGATGCAGGAGAACCTGGAACTACAAAGTCCAACTACCAAAATCAAATTAACTCTAGAACCCGACATCCCGAAAACTTCCACATTTGCTACAAGCATTGGTTTCAATCTAAATCAAAACCAATCAAACACTTTCGCTTCCTCTAAACATGTTCATATCATCACAGAGGAACATAATATATTCAATAAAAAAACACAATTAACAACCTTCAAATTACACGAAAGCACCATCCTTTCGGGTTTTTTATTTTTTCCTCTAAACATATTCATATCAAGAACATAATTTATCCAATATACACAATTAACTACCTTCAAAGTACATGAAAACACCGTCCTTTCGGCGCCACGGCTTGCGCTGGAGGACAATGGCGGCCGGCAAGACCTTCTTTCGGAGGTCGGACTTGCCCTTCTTGACAGTAGCCATGACCATGTCGCCAACACACGCAGAAGGAAGGCGGTTGAGGCGACCCTTGATTCCCTTCACCGAGATGATGTAAAGGTTCTTGGCACCGGTGTTTCGACGCAGTTCACGGTGGCGGCCACAGGCAGACCCAGCGACATCCGGAACTTGTTTCCGGCGGATCCTCCACGCCCTGCAATTTAAACGAATCGAAAATTAAACAAATTAATTAACTTTTAACATCGAACAGAAAAACCCATCAACTTCTGATTGGTTGCTGAGAAAATTTTGGATCAGAAAGGAGGAAAGTTTGAATCCTTGAAAGACCCAGAAATACTAAAACGTGAGAGAGAGAGAGAGAGAGAGAGAGAGAGAGACCTCGTTTCGACATAGCTGCACCAGATAGGCTTCAGATCTCAAGAGTGAGAAGTGTGCCGCGAGATTGCTGCGATTAGGGCTTAACAGATCCTGATTTCGATTCGGGTTCGTCGAAAAGGAACGAGAATCGCTAGGGTTTCTGGTGGAAGCTTGAAGAGGGCGTGCGAGAGAGAGTCTGAGAGTGTGAGCAAGGGAGGAGAAAGGAGGGCAACGTTGCCAAATTGAAAATTTCATTAATAAAATTACTGTAGCTCCGTATTTTTCATAATAAGCTGCTTTTTTTTTTTTTTTTTTTTTGACAAGAAACGATAGTGAATTTCATTAATCAACACGAATCATTACAAGAATGTCATTGGGTACATAGTTTTAGTGATTAATAAATTGATTTGAAGTGAATTACACAAATAAACCCCTGAAAGATAACCACAAGATCAAACATACAAACGTCAAGTGCACAAGAGCTATCAATACAGATCTATTACAATAAACCATATCAGCAACAGAAAAATACAAATAGCCACAATGGACATCGTTGAAATGCATGGTCACAAAAAATCATCGCTAAAAAGTAAGATCACATGAAGTTATCGTTTGCAACTTAGCTGACAAGACTAACAAACTGCAACGCACAAAGGCGAAGACCAATTTGACCAAAACAAACAGCGCCACCACGGTGCACAATGGCTAGTGGACAACGAGACAGCACCGGAAGGGTCCGTTGTACAACTCAGTAGTAAACAAAATATTCCGAGAAGGAAGCCACACAAGGCAGCACCTTCTGATGGAAGGATGCGCCACTCCTGATAGAGACCACTGCACAGATTTGGATAGCCTCATCATCAGGTTGAAACCAAGGCAGTTGGCTGCACATTGAGACTTTGGCGACTTATAGCCAGATTTGGAAAAGCCCAGGCAATACATCCCCAGCAAAAGCACAACGCAGGGGGAGCAACAGAGGATAGGCGCAAGAGGCAGTGCGTCCAAATCAAGAGGGGTAAACATCACAACATCGGCAAATGAGTGGCTTCGACCCACCACACGACCTCAATCCAAACCCAAGCTTCGAATCAGACCCAAATCAAGAAAATACCTTGAAAACCCGTTTTTGCAGCTTTCCATTTTTAGCTTTTTCACCTCAATACCAAACCAAGACGAAGAAGAATGAAGTGAGGTAAAGTCAAAAGTGAGACATTAATCCCACGTGATTAGTTATCATCTTTTCTTAATCTCTTTTCTTTCATTCTTTTATTTGTTGTCCAAGTAGATGGATGACACCTTTTACTTTTTTTATTTCTTTTTGGTGTTCCAGTGAACAATTTTTGTCATCTTTTATCAATCTAAATGAAACAATATTTTCTAATATTTTTTTCACTTGCTTTCTTTTCTTTTTTGCATGGATTTGAATTTAAGGTAATTTTTACTTCATTACCTTGAACTATTGTGATTTTCAAACTTTAAATACATCAAATTTTTTTCTTACAGCTTTATACTTAAAGTGAGGATTGTGGGACACTTTCATACTTTTGTTATGCTTTCGTTAGATGCTCCTTTAATACATGACGTGGTGTCCACTTTAAAAATAACTAGACACCACGTGTCACTGTTGCTCCATATGGATATTAAAAAATTAAAAATTAAAAAACAAAAAAAAAATTAAAAATCAAACAAAGAAAAAAATAAATAGATAGGAACAATATCTCACCCTGGAACCTGTGTTGAAAATTAAAATCACCTGCATTCTCCTGAAACCTGTGCTCATACCCCTCTTACCCTTCGATCTCCATCTTGTCCTCAGACACAATCTCCAAAAAAATTAAAAGGGTCTTGCTTCTTTACCATGAGCAAACCATCCAAAAACTCCAATTCTTTCTTCTGGGAATTCGCCACATTGACGTAGTCGTCATCGGATTCAAAATCTGATTCTGAGTCTGAATCTTCGGAGGGGTCAGCCGCGAAGCCTCATTTCTTCAATTCTTTGTAGTGCTGGAGCTCCTCCCGCTTCTTGTTGTGTTAGAGGTGCGTAGGCGACGACGTTCGATGACGCTCTACTAGGGTTTGGAAGTTTTTCGTTCTGAGTTTTGAATTTTTGGAGTTCTG